ATAAGATCTTACATATAAGTCACATCATCGTCTAGGCTAACTCTTTATACATTGATAGACGGTAGTGCGCTTTATATGAACCACAATGAACAGATTTGGTCTGGGGATAGAATAATGTATTCTTCACAGAATTCAAAAGGTGACCACACCTGTATAACTGAACCATGATGTTCCAACCAAATATTTCCACGTTCACGTCTTCTAAGTGTTGAGCGTTTAACGTAAGTCTTCTCAGTAATTATAGGCTCAGCTTCGAGGATGGTGACTTTAGGAGTTAATGTTACTACGGACTAGCCAATTATGGGACTTATATTTATCATCATTTGACGAATTCGTCCTCAAGCACTGCAAGTATGTTATGAAACTACTCTTTTAACAAATTCATTCAATCAGCTCCACTGAGAGCTCTTCTTGAACTACTATCGCTCGTTACGCCGGATAACTGTGTACGGCTGGTTACGCGATTAATAACCTTAATCTTTATAAATCAACCATATAAATTCAGTGTTTAAAATTGACGAATACGTATTTAGAAACGTTATGACACCTTATGGTGAGAACTTAAGTTCTTTTGGAAGCTATGAGACTGATGTCCCTTATAATTACCAGAGCAAATGATACTTCAGATGCATGGAAGGTCCGGATGGTTTAGAAGACTGGGTAGGCAAGTCAAATAGCTACGAAGACGGAAAGATACAATTTGGCGGTTCTTGGAATCAGTAGAACACATTGGACCCAAGTTGGACAATAAGGGATAGATTCAGGAGCAGTGCTGCTTTAATCCGTTGACGAAGAGGAACACACTGTGCACAACCAGGAAGTCACTCTATTGCCGTCCGTAGAGGCGCGTAAAACACCTATAGGATGAAAATGTTATTGATCCAAAATCATCAAAACATCATTCAAAATTAAGAGGGAGGGAATCACAATGAATATTGCCCAATGTTATAGCAACGACGATAGACTGCAATCAATCATACCTAAGTAACACTTGACCATCCTGATTGGAGACCTATACGCCAAAGTGAGAGTGAAGAACACCAAGTATAAGGGCATTATGAGACGACATAGGCTAAGAAAAAGGAACTAGAATGGCGAGAGATTTGCAAATTTATGTACGCTCAACAAAATGGTCATAGGCGGCACAATATCCCCACATGAACGCATGCACAAAGCTACATGGATACCCTGGAGCGTTTGACAGAGAACCAGATCGATCATATTTACATCAGTAAAATGTTCACATGAGATCAAACAGGCACTAACATCATGTAGCACATGTTCACCTATATTTATTATTTTCCTTCCTCAAAACTTTCGTCTGGAATACTTGTTCTTTTAATAGTCTCACATCTTACTCTCTGTTTATCAGGCGGTATTCACAGTAATGGCTTTGCCACAAGTACTTGCACTGTAACTGCAAGTATGAGTAATTTGTGTTAGCGTTCAATCATGAACGTTTTTCTCCTTCAAAACGTTTGTAGTAATATGAGATGGTGGGTGGAAACTGTCGGAAAATTTTCTTATAATTCTTCAAAAAAGGAGAGGTGATGTGTCAGTACTAAGTGACGACGTTGTACTTTTAACTCATTGTTATTCTTGTTTGACAATAATTTTTCATTTTTATATGATGGTTTTTCGATGTAATATATATTCTAATTTCGGCGTGATGCTTATTCTAAATATTATATTCTTTGTATGGAATTACCGTGAACTACTTTCAGTGTGAAATTTGGTATGTGTTTTTATTATAATTCGGAGGGTTTTTTATACATATAACTTTTTCGTAGTTAAAAATCAAATGGGTGTACAAATCAATATAGAAATGAGTGTATTTTCTACTACGGTTGTTATGATGTCTTCGAGGTGAATAGACCTCCACTTGTTACAGTCTTGGTGTTCTCGCTTAACGTGTTACAGATCGTCGCTGGTCGGTGTTTCAAGAATAAATGGCCAATGATACGGTCCTAACTGGGACACGTCTATGGCTTAAAATCACGGATGAGGAAGTGAGCATTCAAGGCATGACACCTCCCAGATACGAAGAGGTACACAAAAGGGATGGAGCGGCGATATACATTAACTTTCAACTCGAATCTATATTAACACAGTGTTGAAATAACTGAAGTGATAGCATCATGCCGATGTTGCTTTGATGGGAATGGCTGTAAGTAATTGATTGGAGAGACATGCCGGCTCCCACATCTAACACCCGAAAGATGAGATAATACAAGGGATGCTAGAGCTGCATCATCTGGGTTCTAACCTAACACCTCTATTGAGAGACTTGAGCACTCCACCACAAAGTCTCATGAAGCAGATTATTACCCTTTCCGGGTGATTTCATGAAAGACTTGTCACAGCCATCAGAAGCACAGAACTGACTGAATATGTATGTGACGCCATGACATAGGAAAGGAATGGAAGATGTTAGCAAACATACTACAAGAACATCGTAACTAAGCCCCTCGAGGCAACCTTCGGAAGAATACACATCAAAGAGCGTGCAACCAGACACGCCCTCACCTTTTATCACTAGCGGTTTCCCTCACTTGGAATGCTTCCCCATCCGAAGTGACTATCAACCCCTCAGTAGATGGATTTTAGAGGAGACTTGACAAGCACTAACCCATGCATTACCCTATGCCTCTTCGACTAGCTGTGTTTGATGCATGTCTTACAACGTGTCGCAGTCATTATTACCGTATGTCAGCAGCTACTTCCCATTTCCTTTGTTACCATCTGCGTTTCCCCTCTCATCGTCTCGACTCCGTCTTCTTACACAATACCAATTAGCTATTCCTTCTTGAAGCCGCCGTCTTCTCTTATTATTATTTTATTATCTTTACGTTGTAACAATCCAATTTATTGCCTGGCAATGTGACAGCTGCTGGTATCAAGAAAACTTACTTTTCTGAGACAAGCTCACTCAAGCAAATTGCAAGATCTACACATCCACAATTGATTACCAAACCGACTAGAATTAGTGTAGTCGAAAGTCTAGACTATCATCCATTGAACATTACTAGATACCTAGAACGGTACTATGATAACAAGAGGCTATCATAGATAAACGAACAAATTCATAGAAGATCGTGATAAGGTGTTAAATTTTGTAATTCGCGGTTTCGCTTGAAATGACAGTCATTTTCAAATGTTGTTTAGTCTTCAAGTTGTCGAATTAGTATTGTTTTTCGAATTCTTCGCAGTTTTGGTTTCAGAAAGGAATATTTATTCAACTGGTAGTAGCTTTTTTTAATTATTTTTGTGTCCTATTACGAAAATTTCGCGGTCAAATTGTTTGATGTCCTTGAAGGGGTCAGCTTTTTTATCTTGGTCCCTGAGATTTCGCTTTCTATTTTTCATGTTTTCCTCAATTTTGAAAATTATTTACTACCCAAAACGATCATTAGTTTATCTCGGTTAGCGTGTTGTCATATTTATCAGGTATTCTTATTGGCCCTTTCTCCACTCATATGGTAACTACTGCAGTAGTTACCATAATTGCAAAACCATGGTTTTGCAGTTATCAACTTGTAAATTTTCCAGTTGTTGAAATCCGTTTTAGCCGTCAAGGATAGAATGAGATCGCTGTACCTGTGAAATGTTTCATTGATATCGAGTTTATTCGATCTCTGCTTATTTCATGTGGTCGTACTAATGTACATTTGGGGAAATTTTGGAGTCTTTTGTCTCATTTTTCCCAAATTTTCTATAGTGGCTTCCTCAAAACGGATAAAAGTTTGTTCAAAATAGAGACTGGGCTGGTATGGCAATTTTAGTCAAGTGACATGTGTCACGCTCTATTTGGTGACATACTGGCAGAACTAATCATTGTGGAGCCTGGTACAAATATTCATTGTCCCAAGCTGTCATTTTGTATTTTGATAATATGCTTTTCTGTGTGCTAAACGTACTCATATTTCATTCGAGCTTTGTCTGAAAAGCGGTTTCTTAGTAGTTCAAGTATTTTCTTAGTTATTGTCATTATTGAAGGAATATCGAGGTCAAGTAATGCACTCAGTTTTAGTTATTGAGCTCATCTTGTGACAGTGCCTTACAATGGACCAGGGTTACTTTTGTATTTGTCGCCTAAGCCCACTGTATAACAAGGGTTGTTTTTCATTGTTGAACAGGGAAACAACCAGTTTACTTAAACACTTTATAATTGGCAGCTACTGGTCTGTGGCTGTTCTTTAAAATTCGCTAACGTGATTTTAACAAACATGGATCATAGTCGAAGACCACAGACTAAAAGGGAATGCTAAAGCATATCTAGATAAAAATTATGTACCTATTCCTCTGAGTGTCCATTGAGTTCTTTCTTAGATGCATCTTTGAGGCTTTCATCTTTATGTTATATCCCGACGAGCGTACCTATTTTAATATAATCCGGTAATATTTGCGCAATACGTCTTGGCACAGGTTTAACTAAATTCTCAAACTCAAGCTTCAGTTAAACTTGAATTACTGTTGTTAATTTTGTTAATCTAGAAGCGTGACTACAAAATTTAACGGAAATACTTGAAGTCCATCATGTTTGTTTCGCGAGTTTTCACGCTTTTTTTCAGTGTATGATGTACAATGTTAAACTTTACACCTGAACCAAATATCCATGAAGTATGATTAAACGTTTTATTTTTGGTCATATTACTTAAATCAGTAGCTTAGTTCATAATATAAACGATGATTTGATGTGATATCTGTAATATTTTCACATAAAAACAACTTATACGGAACTGTTAACCAGTAATTTCTTCATGTTGGCTAACTTAATCAACATCTTATTAATAAATCCTTTTTCTTTATTTTAGCAATTCAAACTTATTGAATATGCTCTAAATAAATCAGTCAAATTGAACATTTCACTACAACCGTACAAAGATGATGAATAAAATTTACAATTTAATATGTATTTAACATTTCACTCATATGTATCATCAATCACTTTATATATGATTATTATCAATTAATTATTAGTACCTATTCTATCAAACAATATGATCATTTTACAAATTTATATGCATTTACTTAAATTATCATCATTATTATTAATCTTCATTTTATTAGTATCTTCTACGAATTTATCTTATCCAATAAATTCTGTTAAAAATTTATTACCTAGACAAAATATTATTTCACCAGAAGATCATTTAATTGAAATTATTTCTAATCATTCGATAAATTATGGTTGTGATTTTAATCAATTACAATTTTGTTCATATGAACATTCATCTGATTGGAGTTTTCAATTAAGTTTAACAGAATTTGCTTTAAAAATGAAAGAGGCAGCTGAAACAGCTGTTAAAGTGGTTGAAAATTTTCAAGAAAAATTGTCACAAAACAATAATACCAGTAATACTACAAAAAACCAGGTTAGTATAATGCTTGAGTTTTTGTTTTTGTCTCAATTTCTAGTGATTATTATTTATTTATTTATTTGAACACATAGATATTGGTACAAAGAGGCACCAAATACCTATGTGCCACACAGATCTCATTTGATTTGTGTGAGGGCTGTGATACTGCTGGGTGCCCAAACCGAATCAGGTGGTTTTGTTAGGGGACCACACCCGGAGCCTTCAATCTAAATTCTGATCCACAAGCCAGTGGAGCACCGTAAGGAGATGCAGTTCCATGGTAGTCGGTGACCAACGATTGATTCATACGCCATTGGTTTAGGATCCGGTTAAAGTCCCGGACATTCGCTTTTCGTCCTCTCATTTTCGTAAACAACATCCCCACCACGGGAAGGCAGTTAGTAGGACTTCTCTGGCAGAGGCTTTATACGCGTGGCGGTGTGAGAGCATTTGGAGAGGGAGAGCGGACTCTCCTCACTCTCGGCCATACCAGGGCATTTGGGGGCAATTTCTAGTGAACTGCATTGTTTTAATTTCTATTTTATTATGTTTTATGAGGTCAAATTATTTGAACAATAATCATTTGAACTGCTTTCAGAATAATGGACTTTACAGTTAGTATTCAAACAAAAAATCAACCTACAAATTTATTTGCTTTGTTGATGTCCACCATCTAAGCAAGTATAGAATGCGTAGTTAAGATTGTTAAGATAATCTGAGTCCTTGGTTCAAGATCTAAAGTGACACGGTTCTGAATCAGTGACAGGAACACAAATACGATTATTTATGTTCTTCAGTTCTTTAATTTTACTCGTGTATTTCAGCTTCTGCAATACCTAGGTAATTGTCTGTACCAAATATTTAAATTCTTGTTGATAAACAATATTATTGTTTAAAAAAGCATATTATTCGTGTTTGTAAGAAATATATGAATTACTCTAATTTCTTACATGGTATGTTATCGCAACTATTATATCTGCTAATTAGATTAAGCCAAATTACAAACTCATTTATGTACAGGCTAAATATTCAGTCGGTTGAGTAACTGGTCGATACGGTTATTAGTTTGCTTTACCATTCAAATTCAGGATTATGGTTGTCTGTAAAACATTTGGATAAAGTAATTAATAAGCATAGGTTGCAAGGTTTTGATTATAAAATTTTAAAATTATTTGTCTGAAGTTAAATTAACAAAGAAATAATGGTCAGATTAAATGTAGAGCCCTAGTTAGATTTCACATTTAAATTAATCTAGCTATAATCTTACATCGAGTGGTCTGGTTGGGACATGAGTAATGTATACATGACCATTATCTATGTCTTGTGATATGCTGCACACCATGGGTGAATAGACTGAGAAAGAGCTAGATACTGCTAAGCGTAGGATATGAACGTAATCGACGAAGTCATCGAATGTTTCTGGTTATTCATACTTCCTGATCAAAGTCTTCATCACATAGTTGATTTATGGTTAGAGAACCTTATGTGTCATGATAAGTCGATTCATTATTTATCTTTCCGTAATGCTTGAACTTAGCATCATTTCAAATCGTATTTATTTATTTGATCACATAAATATTGGTACAAAGGGGTACCGAATACAAATGCGCCACACAAGTCACTTGATTTATGTGTGGGCTATCATACTGCCCGGGTGCCCGAACCTAAGCAAGTGGTTTTCTTAGAGGGCCTTTGATCTAAAGATCTGACCCACAAGGCAGTGGAACAACGTTAAGAGACGCAGTCCCGTGGTAGCCAGTGACCAACAATGCGTTCATACGTCATTTGTTTCCTTAGGATTTTGGAGCCCATATCCACCACTAATTTGAAACTAGGGTTTTCCAACTCCTCTAGATGGACCCTTCATGTCCACCAACCCGGTCAGAGTGCTGGACATTCACTTTTCGTCCACTCAATTTCGTAAACAACAGTAATGCCGGGAGAAGGCAGTGAGTAGGACTTCTGTGGCAGTGGCTGTATACGCTTGGCTATGTGAGAGCATTTAGAGTGGGACAGCGAACCCTTTTCACTCTCGGTCGTCCCAGGGCATTTGGATAAAAATCGTATCTTCGATGCTTAGTTTCATACTATTCCAACTCTTTTGAATGATAATGTATTCTTCTTTAAAATTGTGTAACAAACGAAAGAAAAAGGATAATTTTGTAATGTTTTAGTCATTATAGTATAAGTTTATGTCCTTATTTTATGAATGCACTTTTTAACGTGTATTTGTGTTCAGATAATCATATGTATCATTAGACTGTAAAAATAATTTATCGGCGTGTATTTTTCCATGTGATCGAAAGTGTGAAGATGATAGATTTAGTAAATAAATGCTCTCCCTTCCCCCCCCTCCCATAAAGTACGTTATGTATATATTTTAATGAATTCAACTTAATGTTACTTGTTTAGTTTTAATAGCTATGATAATTGAAAAAAAAGATTGAAGTAATATGATAGATTATGTAAAATAATTCAAATTCGGATAAGTGAATTAACTAAGTGATAAATGACTATTGTTTTTGTGAAAATTGTAGCTGGTTAGAATTAATTCACTAGTTAGTTATGCCAATCTAGGCGATCTTGAGCGCCTTCGTGATGTCAGTCTGACTGTAAAAGGTTGGATCTACAACGCGTCGGTGAGAGCAGTTTTGCTCTATGCTTGTGAAACCTGGTCTCTCCAAGTTGAGGATGTTAGATGACTCTCTGTGTTTGATCATCGTTGTCTCCGAAAGATTGTTGATATCCAGTGGCAACACCATACTAGTAATGTAGAGGTTAGGTATCGTGTGTTCGGGCGCAGAGACGATAATCCAATTGATGTCACCATCTTTAAACATCGACTTCGGTGACTTGGACATGTTCTACGAATGTCGTCCCTGAGAATTCCATGTCGTGCAATATTTTCCGACTCTGGGATTGGTTGGGAAGAGTGGAGAGGTGTTCAGTGTATGACATGGTGTCGTGGTATGAAAGCTGTAAAGGGCTGGCTTGTGTTGGTCCTTCATGACTCCCTGGCTGGGGTCGGAGAGATGGTGCAACACAGTGGCTAGAGACGTTATCAGATATGGCTCAGAATAGGAGCCAGTGGCGATCCTGCTGTAACGCATTACTTTCTTCATAAAAAGTGGTTGCTTCTTCCTTAACTGAAAGATTTCTTTTGATTGTACCTTACCGTTCCACCCATTATTACTATTATTATTACATTACCTTCCACTATTCTGTTCGTTATTTTTCTCTCTCGTTTTTTCTTATACTCACCTTACATTCTTTTTCTCTTCTCATTCTGATTGTTATTGTGTGGCGCATATATATCTGGCGTCCCCTTGTACCAATATTTATTTATTCAAATAAAAGAAATTAATTAACTAGCCGTTTACTAGTTACATCCATCCAATCAAACAATCATCGGCAACATAGAACCTAACTCATATGTGCACATATCAACACAGCGAAATGACATTGTCTAGACATATGACAGAGTAGTAGAAGTGGTACGAGCATAAATAGTAATAGAAAAGACAATAAACGGAAATGCGATTCCCAAAGAATGAATTCTCAAAATAAATGTATGAGGTAATCTTAGAACTTGAAATCTAAGAGAAGACAAGGAGTGAACGCATTTGCGCCATTGCGACTGATTCTGAGCCATTTCATCCAACATCTCCGACCATTGAATCGCGCGGACTCTAACTAGGTAGGCTATACCTGCCAACATGACTCAACCCGATAGTCAATGACTTCATAGATGGGTGCCGCGTTTTTGTTTAAACACTCCGAGCTTCCTTCTAATTTACTTCTATATCAGCCCACTTCATATGTCGAGACTGGCTGTAGTTGGACACACGTAATACATGTCCCAACCATCCCAGCCGATTAAGACCCACTACCTTATTAACTGATTCATCAATATTTATCTTGTATTCTGCGTCATCTTAACATTACTCACTCGGTGATCGCAACATACGTGAGAAACGCTCTTAAGTAACTTAATAATAAATATTGGTAATCTATCAGTATTCTCTGTTTTTAAAGGCATCGTTTCATAACCGGGTTATGTGCTGTTGTAGATAACTTTATTGTATCTCATTTTCATTATCAAAATACAGTCGTAAGGTTAGGCATAAGATACTGAGTAAAGATGGCAAATCGGTTAATGAAGCAGAGAAATGTTTCATGTATCCCAAAACACTCCGTATCTTAAAGCTTGGTGTTGGTTGTTGTATGAGTAAATTAGATGGAAGCTATAGAGAAGTCGTAGATCTTGAGTAACATTGATGAGAAAGGGTTACGATGGCGTAGATACATTCACTTTATATAACTCTAGTTTTTGAGTCTCAGTTATCTTTTATATGCACTATACTATTCCGTCTTTTCAAGTTATATTCTGAATACTTAGTCTTTCTCGTTATCATTTATACTACTGTTTGACTTATTTACTAGTTATCTTGTTAGTTTCATCTGATTGTGGTGTTTTAATATAAAGATCTGGTTTGGTTATGATTTATGTTAGATCCTGTGTTGATTATAGTTTAGTGAATTAGAAATAGGCAAAAAAATTTAAATACTGAACTCTGGTTCATATTACTTGTAGTCGTGTAACATCAATTCAAAACCATTTGTATATTCATTCCGATTATATTATGATATATTGGTTTTCATTTTATTGTTAATGTTTCATGGAGACAATGATCAATCACTTATAGATTATATTTAACAATGAATACTAATCGTTGGTTTTGAATGCCCCTAAATACCCTGGTATAACCGAAAGTGGGGAGAATCAGCTCTCCTTCTCGAAATGCTCTCACATACCCACGTGCGTACAACCACTGCCACGGAAATCCTATTCACTGCATTCTCTCAGCCATGGTGTTGTTTACGAAATTGAGTGGGCGAAAAGCGAATGTCCGTCGCTTTAACCGGCTTGGTGGATTTCGAGAATGCACCTAGGTGATTTGGAAAACCCTGATTTTAAACCAATCGTGCATATGGGTTGGTTCCAGGATCCTGAA